AAAGGAAGTAGTAGGGAAAGGGAGGGAGGGAGAAGAGAGAAAAGGAAATAGGGAAACGATAGGAAGAAAGAAAAGAGGGAGGAAGGGAAGGAAGGAAGGAAAGAAAAAGAGGGAGGGAGAGGTGAGAGATCCTTAATCTTGTTGTCTAGCTCCAACAGAAGTCAAAATCTCACCCTTCTTCCTATAAGCGTGGAAACCTTTGTGCCATTCTGAGCCAAGAGCCACAAGAAGCAGATACTTGAAGCCCCTCCCTTTAGCCGGGTGGGCTTTCTCAAATCACAAGGCCTTTCACGTCAGGCACTGGAACACACTCCCAAAGCAGCAGAGAGGGGACCCAAAAACCGCATGCATGGAAGTGAACCGAAGAGAGCTAAGGCAATAAAACAAATGCACCATCCTGTTATTTTGGGCTCAGGGCTCAGAAGGATGGAGGCCAAGGATTCTGCCTGTCTGATTCACTGTGGTCAGGAAAGGATCCCAGCAAAGGGGAGGAAAGATGGTGCTATTGTTTTTATTCCCCTCCTGTCCTTTGTCCCTCCTTGTCTTGCCAAACAACTCTACATTATTATTAAGATACTTTATTTTTATTTTTATTTTATTTAAAAAGCTCCCATCCGTGCTGCCATTCTTCCGCAGGATATATTTATCAAGAATAATATAATCTAATCATACACCGGGTTTTTAGCTTGACTCGTCTGAAGAAGAGGGGAAGGAAGAACTCGGCTGGGTATCCTTTTTTTCCAGCATCTTTTGGCGAACCGCTGGGCCCAGCTGAAACTCGGACAATGGGTCTTCCTGTTTGAGCCCAAGGAAGAGAGGAAGCTCAGCGGGAATTCCTGCCTGGCTGAGGATTTCCTGTTTTGGGGAAAGACGAGATGGGAATAGCGTGGAAGAGAACGATGGGCTTCCCGCTGAGTTATTCTTGCTTGCCTCCCGGATCGTGAAGGCAGTGACCAAAAAAGGAATTTGAATTATTAGCACAGTAGGTCAGCCTGCAGCTTCATTGGAAAATCACATTGCCTCAATCCCTAAAAACTGTTTGTAGGACAATCTTCCAGTTCAAAGCTGGAAGATACTGTACAACATGGCTATTTTAGTTGGGGCTCGTAGAGCAAGATTGCAAGGTTTTGAATTATGTTCACCTCTTCATTGGGGGATGCTAACAAGAGAAGTTACTGAGGAAATACTTTTCCTATGCCATGATGGAATGGAATGGAATGGAATGGAATGGAATAGCATAGCATAGCATAGCATAGAATAGAATAGAATAGAATAGAATAGAATAGAATAGAATAGAATAGAATAGTATAGAATAGAATAGAATAGAATAGAATAGAATAGAATAGAATAGATATTGAAAAGAATAGAACAGAATTAGAATTAGAATTAGAATATAATGAAATAATAGAGGTTTTAAGATGTAGATACCTGTGTTTCAAACCAGGTATCCATAGTTAGTGAAACGTAAGATAAATGTAGTAGTATACGCTTTGTACATAGTACTACATTTATACATAGTACATACTACCATATATAAATACAGCCATAGTACATACTACTATGTACATGAAGAAAGATGAGAAGGATAATAGCAATACAGCATACTACATGGCTGTATTTATACGTAGCATGTACTACATATAAATAGTAGAATGTACTACATACTTATTACATTCTACTACATTTAAATACAGCCATAGTACATACTACTATAGAAGCAGTACATAGTACATACTTCTACCTATAAATACAACCACATAGTAAGCTGTATTGCTCTTACCCTCATATTTTCTATTATCTTTCCTACTGTCTTCTCCTATTGGCATCTTGTGATTTATCGCTTGTTGTTTGTATCTTACGATTGGTGATCTATGACATACCACTTCGCTGTTTGCATGTGCACCGAGAGCTTATGCACCTGGAGACAAATTCCTTGTGCGTCCAATCACACTTGGCCAATAAAGAAAGCTATCCTATTCTAAATGGGATCTAGTGACGGGCAGTTGGGCTACTGCAGAGAAGAATTGGAAGTTTTGGCCAAGTTGAGCTAGGAGACCTCGAAATTATTCTAGAATTGTGGTTCTGAATGCACTGTGGGTAAATTCCGTTATCTTCCCTATTTCGCAGAGGCCCTGCTGTCTCCTTTGGGCCATATATGCAAACCTTTCATTTGTTTTTTTCCATTCTGCTAAATAGAATGACACTATTTTTCCTTCTTTCTGCACTCTTTAAGGTCAGGGAGACATCGCCGTTGATTACCGATGGAAACAACCATCTGAGGCTAGAAATTTGCATGTTGTCTTGTTAAAGATCATTTCCTGGTGATGTTTCCTGGTCACTGAGAAGTGCCCCTGCTTATACGTTTCCTAAGTGAGGGCTGGGGTAGCCTTGTTCTCTTTTTCCCATTTAACTTTGCAAGCCAGGACTGCTAACCATCGTTTTGCAAAGAGAAGATTGCACAGTGGCCCTTTTAACACCTCTAGAGCATATCATGACAGCATAACCCAACCAACGTGGCTGTTTTCATAAACTGTGATCGGAACTAACTGGCTTAGTGCAGAAATGAGCCGCTTGCTATCTTCAGAGAAAGACGCCTGGTGTTTTCATACAAAGGGACGGGGCCATTTCTTGCACCTGAACTTAGACAGGATGTTTCACCGTTTCCTGAGTTTAGTGGGCGGGGAGTTTTTTATCTTTAAACTATTTTAAGGCTTAGGTGTTAGCTTTTGTCTATCTGCCACTTCCAACTATGGGAAATTGTGTCGATGGCTTTTAATAGCTGGCTAGTGTAGAAGAGGGGGGAAGGTGGGCTTAGGGACAACTCAGAGGTGGTTGTTACAAAAACATCAGCTTAGCTGGGGAAAAACAGGAAAGGGTGAGAAAGAAACTCAAGATTGTACCGCCTGCTGTCTCTTTGGCGTAAGAGGGGGGGAAGGAGAAGCTTTCGAGATGGCGTTATTCTTCCACATAACAGTAAAGTAAACCTCAAGTTTTTCAGGTGGGGTCTGCTTCCTGATCTGGTCTTATCTCAAAAAGTGGGAGCTGCAGGAAGGATTTAGAGAAACTCACCCGACATATGCATCAAAGGTCTGCAAATGCCTGAAATGGACAGGAGGCCCACCCTCCTGTCCATTTAGAGGTGCTAGCATCTAACCACAGTGCCACCACTTTTAAGAGCCGTAGGTGCCACCGTGGTTAGAATGCAGTATTGCAGGCTGACTCTGCCCATTGCCAGCAGTTCTATTCCAACTGGCTCAGGGTTGACTCAGCCTTCCATCCTTCCGACGCTGGGAAAATGAGGACCTAGGTTGTTGGGGGCAAGAGGCTGACTCTGTAAACCGCTTAGAGAGGGCTGGAAAGCACCATGAAGCGGTATACAGGTCTAAGGGCTATTTCTATTGCTATCTATTTATCATTTATCTGTGGTGGCCCAGTGGTTAGAAAGCAGCATTTCAGGATGACTCTGCCCACTGCCAGCAGTTCAATCCTCACCGATTCAAGGTGGACTCAGCCTTCCATCCTTCCGAGGCCAGTAAAATGAGGACCCAGGTTGTTGGGGGCAAGAGGCTAACATTTGTAAACTGCTTAGAGAGGACTGTAAAGCACTGTGAAGCGGTATATAAGTGTAAGTGCCACTGCTATTCTAAACATGGGTTTACAGACCTTAGTAGGTCCAATTTCTTTGGCAGCATCCCGGTAACTAAGCAACAAGCAGCTACGCTCGGTTGAAAACTATTGAGGGGGTGGGGTTTACTTTCCCCTGGCCTCCTTTTCGCCCCCGCAGCTTTGCATTATCTCTCTGCCAAAAGTCACCATCCTCCTGCCACCAATTTCTCAGACCTTCCATTGTTTCTCGCTGAAAGTTTCGCTGCGCGGCTGGTTCTCCAGGAGACCGTCTTTAAGCCTGCAGATGCAGAACGTGGATGGGTGATGAATGTTTAGACTTAATTGGTTTTCGTCTCCTTCGATTCTTTATTTGGCTGTTTATTTAAAGCAACAATATGCCCACCCACCTCAAAGACATCGCTCTAGGCAGCTGCTGTAAGTAAGGTTAGATGAAAGGCGCCCTTAAAAAAAAAAAAAACACAGTGTAGAACAAAGCAAAATTGTAGATACGTAAAATAAACAGTTTAGCCAACGTTTTTGCAGGTGGGATTTTCGGACAAGGTATGAAATGTACCTGTTTGGAAAACAAATGAGTTACTACCCAAATAACTGTATTCCCCCCCCCCCCACTTTCAGGTAATTCCACTATGGTCTGTGGTCTTTTTAGAGTTGCCAGCAAAAAGGGAGGTGGGGGGAGCAATGCAGCAGCTTGCAAAACCGAAAGAGCATTCCACAAATGTTTTCAAAGATAGTTTCTAGGCGACCGAAGTTTCTGCCGTGCAAAATTCTAACTGGAGAGTATGATTGATGACTCTGGGCTATGGCGGTGTCCCATTGGAGAATATGAATTATGATACACCCAGAGGGGTGGGGAGAAAACCTGGGTCAAGGGATGACAATGAATGATGTGCCTCAGTGTTGGCTACACCCAGGTAGCACCGGCATGTTTACTCCTAATTCATCTTCTTTAAGCTCTGGAAATCCGGCTAGAGACTCGTGATTTAAACGGGGGCGGATTGTCGGAGCCATGACGCCGTCCTCTTTCTGGCCTCCCCGCCTGACTCTTCTCCCGTTGCCTTCCAGAGAAGAGAAGATGACAGCGGCCTGCATCAGGAAGTGCCACAAATGCGCCACCGGCTTGATCAAATCGGAAGGCTGCAACCGCATGTCATGTCGTTGCGGGGCCCAGATGTGCTACCTCTGCCGAGCGGCCATTAATGGCTACGACCACTTCTGCCAGCACCCTCGTTCCCCGGGAGCCCCGTGCCAAGACTGCGCGAAGTGTTCCCTTTGGACGGACCCCACGGTGAGTGTTCTGGGACCCCCCTGGATTTCTTCCCAAGGTTCTCCCCACAATCTCAAGGGGGATTGGCCACACCCACGGTCCATCCACGGTTAAAAATCCCATTCCTTAGCGCCCTTCACGAGTGGTGGCGGTGTCGTCCTCTAACTTGGGACCTCTCTGTCTGTGTTGATTGAGTTACCAAGTGGTCAGAGTTACAGTACTGTGGGCTACTTCTGCTGGCTGTTGGTTGCCTGCAATTTGGCAATTCAAATCCCACCAGGCTCCAGGTTGACTCAGCTTTCTCTCCTTCTGAGGTGGGTAAAATGAGGACCCAGATTGTTGGGGGCAAGAGGCCGACTCTGTAAACCGCTTAGAGAGGGATGTAAAAGCACTGTGAAGCGGTATATAAGTCTGCTATTGCTTGGGAAGGAGAAGCAGGCTGCAAGTACTGCATTCTAACCACTGTGCACCATGGAAGGAACGAAGGAAGGAAGCTATTGTGGTGCAGTGGTTAGAATACATTATTACAGGCTAACTCTGCCTACTGTCAGGAGTTCGATCCTGACCGGTTCAAGGTAGACTCAGCCTTCCATCCTTCCAAGGTCAGTAAAATGAGGACCCAGATTGTTGGGGGCAAGAGGCCGACTCTGTAAAGCGCTTAGAGAGGGCTGGAAAGCACCGTGAAGCGGTATATAAGTCTGCTATTGCTTAGGAAGGAAGGAAGGAAGGTATAGTGGTGGAGTGGTTAGAATGCAGTGTTTCAGGCTAACTCTGCCCACTGCCAGGAGTTCAATCAAGATTGATTGACTCAGCCTTCCATCCTTCTGAGGTTGGTAAAATGAGGACCCAGATTGTTGGGGGCAAAGAGGCTGACTCAGTAAACCCCTTAGAGAGGGCTGGAAAGCACTGGGAAGCGGTATATAAGTCTTGAGTGTTATTGCTATCTTAGGACCTCTCCGTCCGTATTGATTGAGCTACCATGGTACTATACATACATGCATACATTATAACCTTAGACTGCCTACTATTGACCTCACCCCTTTCCTAAGAGGTCTGTAGGGGGCCTGCATAAGCACACCAACGTGCCTACCGTCCCTGTCCTATTGATTCTTTTTATTTTTCTTATTTTTCTTATATGTACTCATAACTATGTATACACTTATACCTATTATCTTGTAAGCGATTGACAAATCAAATAAATAAATAAATACACACATACATAGGGAGGGGGAGGGAGAGAGACTTTAAAAAGAGTGCAGAAAAGAGCAAAGCAGATTCTAAGCTTCGTCTGGGGAGGTTAAATCCTTAGGATGTACAATTGAGGGAACTGGGAATGTTTCGTCTTGACAAAGAGAACGACTAGGGATGATAGCAGTCTTCCAATAACTAAGGGGCTGCCCCAAAGAAGAAGGGGGTCAAGCTATTCTCCAAAGCAGCGGTCGCCAACCGGTGGGCCGGGGACCCACTCATGGCCCGCGAGAAAATTTTGGTGGTCCACAGAGAAATATCCCCCCCCCCCAAAAGCAATTAATCCAGGCTGCGTGGGAACACAAGGCTGTCCCACCCACAGGGCCCACCTACCCGCTGGCCCCCACCCTTTGGCCAAGCGCAAACCTTACCTTGAGTAGAACCACGCGAGTTAGGACTGGAAGGTGAGACCAATGGCGGGGGAGGGAAATCCGCCACCCCGAGGTGACGTCGGTGGGGAAAGTCGGTCCCCTATTCCAGAGCAGCAGCGGTCACAGGACTGGCCCTTTGGTCATCCCAGAGCAGCTCCTCCAGTCCATGGCAGGCCGGTGCACCCGAGTGGAGGAGCAGCTGCTCCAGGATGACCAAATAGCCAGTCCTGTGACCGCTGCAGCTCTGGAATAGGGGACCGACTTTCCCACCGACGTCAGCAAGCCACCGTCAGTCAAAATTCATACTAGTGGTCCAAGCGGGATTTAAAATGATGAGTTTGGTGGTCCCTGGGGTCCAAAAGGTTGGCAACCCCTGCTCTGAAGCCACCCCCATTAGGGGACTGAAGGCTAAAACATACCAAGAACAGTTGCTGGAATTGGGTCTGTCTAATGAAAAGGACTAGGGGTGATACGATAGCAGTCTTCCAATATCTCAGGGGCTGTCCCAAAGAAGAGGGAGTCAAGCTATTCTCCAAAGCACCAAAAGGCAGGAGAAGAAGCAACGGGTGGAAGCTAATCAAGGAGAGAAGCAACCTGGAATTAAGGAGAAATTACAACAGTTAATCAGTGGAACAACTTGCCTCCGGAAGTTGTGAATGCTCCATCACTGGACGCCTTTAAGGAAGATGTTGGACAGCCATTTGTCTGAAATGGTCTAGGGCAGGGGTGTCCAACCTTGGTAACGTTAAGCCTGGAGGACTTC